GTCCCTCTTCGCCTTCCGCGTGGAGGTTGATGGAGATGACACTAACCTGGTGAGGAGCTGGGCAGCGCACAGGGAACAGCGTGAGAGCTGGGCTATCTTGCCACATAGGCAGTCACACCCGGCTTAGCCTCTCCTAGGGTGCTCTTTACTCACCAAGTGACAATAGAGCTCCAATCTCTCCCTGGCAATCCTCCCATGAGGGTGAGGCCGCCCAGCTCCCCTTTTGCTTCCTCTGGCCCAGCTTCTGGGTCAGGGATTCATAACCACATGCCCCCCAATCACCTGCCTACATGCCACCATGAGCAGACCGGACCAGTATGTACTTGGAAACACACAGCAAACACTGTTCTAAGAGGTGTAGAAGCAAGTAGTGTTTTTAGAACCCTCAACAACAACCGTCTGTTAAAGTGCAGGGGGTAGGGGGATATGTAAGCATTTGCTCATTATCTCTAAAGGGCTGAACTCAGAGCCACAAAGAGAGATGGGCACTAGTGGTGCTGGGTTGTGGCAGCAGGTGCAGACACTTCAGAGCAGCTCAGGAGGGTTGGCATTCAACAGAGAGGAGCCTTGGCACACACCCTATAGAAACCTACATGGCCCGCATCATGCCACCAAGAATGCTCAGAGTGCCAGGGGACCAGAAAGCCCACACCAGAAGTCAGCAATGTCAGCCCATGGTGGATACACAGACTACTACAGGAACACGTTATTGGCTTGATCTCGCAAGGTTCACTGCAGACAGCTGTGAAGGCAGCACAGACAGATCTTATAATGTGGCAGGAAGAACACAGTAGTAAGTTTACATGCGTGATCATAGCCGTGGAAATGAGACCATGGTAGGAAACAATGAGGAATGCTGAACAACTGGAAAGGGGCATAAGCAAGGGCTGTGCATCCTGGTTGGGGCGTGATTTATAGAAACACATGTGGCCGGGCGATGGTGGCGCACGCCTTTAATCCCAGCACTCGGGAGGCAGAGGCAGGTGGATCTCTGTGAGTTCTAGACTAGCCTGGTCTACAGAGCTAGTTCCAGGACAGGCTCCAAAGCCACAGAGTAAACCTTGTCTCGAAAAACAAAACAAAAAAACAAACAAACAAAAAAGAAACACATGTGTTGGCTGACACTCATCTGACCACTTAAGATGTCTACACTTTGTTGTTCATAAATTCCTCTTCAGCAGAATAAAGTCCACTGTGAATAGTGACAGAAATATAGTTAGTAAAGTTTGCTCTTCACAATGGAGTGGGCTAGTGTTCCTGAAACTATTTTTTAAGATGTATTTGGAATTCAAAAATGAGAGTGAATGATTCATTATGGATAATAAGAGCTAGGCTTCTCACTGTTAGGCAAGGGAGGTCCAAACGTTGAAAAGAGGGCAGTTGGATTGTGCGGCGCTGCAAAGAAGTATGCCTATGAGCAAATGGGCTCACAAAAAATGGGGGCGTGTGGATGGACAGATGATGGATGGAGGGATGATGGATGGACGGATGGATGATAGGAAGGAGAGTAGATAGGTGGGTGGACACATGAGTGGTTGAGTGGGTGGGTGGGTGGATGGATAAATATATCACATGCATTTATGTGCACACAGGTGAATACTTAGTACTTTATCAGCATGTGCCTATGGTTTCATAAACACACATCCTTCCCTCCACCTTCACCCTTTTTCCTCATCGATAATTGGAGAATTGTTTTGTGTCAACGAGGGTCTGAAAATGACGGTGGCACAGCAGGCACAACTAGCTTCCCGATAGGATTTCTAAACACTTTCCTCGGAGGGAAAGCTGAATCTTGGCCTAGCTGAGGAAAGAACGAATTGAGCCTGGGATGGGACCGTGACTGGAAATGAGGGGCTCAAGGAATGATGAGGACAACGGGAAGAGACAAAAGATAGCTCTATGAGCTCCACAGGTCAAAACGGGAGCCATTTGGCTATCGAGAGCAACCAGCAATGGCTGTGGATTAAGACTCACAAACAATAGTTCAAAAAAGAATCAGAGTGGATCAGATTTAAGAAGAGTAAAAATAAAATCAACAGCTATGGGTTTTAAGGAATAAAGAAATATGAAGAGAGCTGAAGGGGACAAGGAGAGAGGAGAAAGCTTTTCTTGTACAGTAAAACACTCGTTCTAAGTGCCTATGGGTCTGATGCCCTGAGAGGACCAAGGGCAGAAAAGAAGGTTGCCACTATAGGACCCAGCTGGACCAATCATGAAGCATCACCAATGAGGGGTGTGAGCACTATAACAGCCTATGCCCTAGTGTGACAGAGACAAGGCCTGGCTATCAAGACTCCAGGCAGACGTTAGCAAAGCAATGTGTGCAGTGAGTGTATCATGTGACTGGGGTAGAGTCAGGCCTGGGAGATAAGCTCTCAGAACAGGGCACCTCTGGCACCTGGAAAGCTTGGCCTGGGTGTAGGGTGGATAATGCTGGGTCAACACTGCAGCTCTCGGTTTCGATAAGTGCACTGTGGTTATGGGAGAGAATGCCCTCGTTCTTAGGAATGACACACGGAAGAAATGGGCAAAGAGACACAATGCCTTCACCCACAGCCGCCCACAGCAGTTGTGACACACTGCATGTAAATATTTATGCATATTGACAGTCAGATATATGGGTAGTAGATAATAGATGGGATGGGTGAATGGATGGATGGATGGATGGATGGATGGATGGATGGATGGATGGATGGAAAGACATACAGAAAACTGGATGGGCAGATGGATAGACAAATGTACAGATGATGAATGGATAATAACTGGATGGACAGACAGATACATAGTTGGATCGATAGATGGATGGATGGATGGATAGATGGAAATGGGTACATGGGGGAGAATATATGACCGGACAAGCAGATGGACAGGCAGATAGAAAACTGGATAGATGGGTGCATGGAGAGGTGGATAGATAAATGGATGGACAAATAAGTAGACAGACAGATAACTGGATAGATGAATGAATGGATGGACAATAGGTATATGAATGAATGTATGTGTAGGTGGAGAGATGGGAAATGGGTGTGTGGGTGGACAACAGATGAATAGATAACTAGGTAGACAAATAGATGGACAGATGGATGTATGAACAGACGGGTAAACGAATAGACAGGTGGATAGATGATGGATTGATAGATGAATGGTTGGATGGATAAGAAGAAAACGGAATGATGCAGAGAGAATGAATGTTATCAGTATCCCTGGGAAGGTACAAGCATTCTCTGAATTGTTTCTGCAACTGTCATCTAAATTAGATACAGTATTAAAACGAAATACAACAGAGGCCCTAAGCCTAGAGTATGTTCTGAACAGCTCCTTGGCCTACACTTGAACTTATACTGGTAAGGTGATTTGGGCTAGTGTCCTTGGCAGCTTCCAGGCGTGCTGCTCACCAGAGAGCCTGTAGTACTGGGGCTTTCAGTCATCCCTCACCCATGACTCTGGGAAGGGGCAGTGCTCCAGCATAACCCACAGATGGTCTAGAGGTTGACACTCCCAGATAGGGCCCATGTCCTACCCATCTCTTGCTCTTGCCACCTTCCCCTGGTGGTTCTTAAGTTGGGTCCTGGGGGATAAACTGGTCAATGCTAACATATAGCCCGCCTGCATTCTGGGGGTCTCCCTAACAGGCCCTGAACTTTAGAGGGCCATAGGAACCATGACAGTATAGGTGCAGGTGGGGAGGACTGAGCTGGAGTCCAAACCCCTGACGGCAGGGTCTGGATAAACTCTGGGGAGTTGGCATCAAAACTGAGTCAAACGACAGGTCACACGTTTGGCAAACAGAGTTGATTGCAGGGTTGAAAACATGCCTGAGCCCCGAAAACAAAGTGAGTGGGTGTTCTGTAAACAGCACCCGGGTAAGGTGCTGTCGGTTGAGTCAGCCGGGCCAGCCCAGTCAGATCTAGATAAGAGCCCCTTGTCTGCAGCCCCACCTCTGTGTACAGCTCACCCAACTGGCCCTGGTGGCCCTGCAGCTAAGAGAGCCCAGCCTCATCACTTCACCAAGCCTGTTCCTTCCCCTGGCCCAAAGGAAGCGGAGTCCTTGGCAGACATTTAAAGAGCCCAGCAAATCTCTGCAGCCCAACCTCCTAGAAGGAGGGCAACAGGAGGCACCTTCTGCATTCTTTGCAAAGCTGTTGCAAAGGCAGCTTGGATACCAGCCCCACATAGCTAGGAAGTGAATTCCTCTGGGCACCCAGAGCCCCAGGATCTGAGCCACAGATACCCACGTGTGGAACTCATGCTACTAAGGCATGTGGGACTTCCATGGTGCCCTCAGGGCCCCTGATCTGCCCACTCCTGCGGGAGTGATGAGCTACATGTCAATCATAACAGGTGAGTCTGGCTCCAGAAGGCTCCACAGAATCAACAGGATGAGGTTCTGGCCACCTGTGTGTTTGCCTGGTGCCAATGCGCTTGCCTAATGCCTATTTCCAAAATTGCGGAGGATAACAAATGACCTAACAGTGAAACAAAACCCTCTGTACATGTGAACCTCAGCAAACATCATGCGCATCTGCTAGGGACCAGCCCACGCTCGGCCTCCCATAGAAGTCTCCAGAATGTAAGGCTCTGCATGCCAGCAGCCTTCACACAGGCACTGTGGGGCCAACAGTCCACTCAGCCCCTGAACAGCAGGCCCTAGGGAAAGAACCTACGGCCGGCACACGACCGTGAGTTTGAAATAAGTCACTCTAGGAAATCAGTCTAGAATTGCAGCCCTGGTGTGACACAGAACAGAAAGAAACTTCATTCCCGAAGAAGCTAGTCTTTGAAAATAGCGATCACTCAGGGGAAGAGAGGGAGATGTTCCCTGAAGGTGGAGAGGCCAAGAGGCAGAAGCTAGAGAGGTTGGGGCCAGCACCCATGCAGGTGATGCTGACTCAGGCTGGGGAGGAGCCAGAGGCGGGACCCTTGCTGAGCAGGCCAGGCAGGAGAGCTAGTTTTAAAGCCACAACTAAGCAGAGGCTGCAGCCAGTGGAGCCAGAGGCATTATGCTGTGTGCTCTGATTCTCTTGTCTGGTCTCCTGGGGGCCATCAAGGCCAGCCCCATCTCGGGCCCCCAGGAGTGTGCCAAGGGCTCCGAGGTATGGTGTCAGGATCTGCAGGCAGCTGTGAAGTGCCAGGCTGTGAGGTTCTGCCAGAGCGCTGTCTGGAGCAAGCCCACAGTCAGGACCCTGCCCTGCAGTATATGCCAGGATGTGGCAGCCGCTGCTGGTAACGGGATGAACCCAGATGCTACAGAGTCTGACATTTTGGCATCGCTAATGAAGACCTGTGAGTGGCTTCCGAGCCCGGAATCTTCAGCAAAGTGCAAGACGATAGTGGGCAACCATAGCACAGCTGTTCTGGGCATGCTCAGTGGAACCGCAGGGAGTGCCCTGGCTCCGGTATGTACTGCGCTTACCCTCTGTGAGCCGCTACAGAGGTACCTAGCCACTGCCACCTCAGAGAGCCCGCCAACCCAAGAGGATGCAACTGAGGTGATGGCTCCATTCTTGTCCAATGGGGCCCTCAGCTTCCACCCGTCACAGGTGCTTGGGGGTGCTGTATGCCAAGATTGTATCCAGCTGATCTCCCGACTCCAGGGTTCTCTGGAGTCTAACTTGACCTCGGCAGAGGTAGCTGTCCAGGATCAGTGTGAATCCCTGGGGTCTGGCCTCGTTGCGCTCTGCAAGAACTACATCCGCCAGCAGTTTGTCCCCGCCAAGCAAATGCTGCAGATTCTCCACCCACAGGAGGTCTGCAGGAAGGGGGGCTTCTGTGAGGAGCAGAGAGAGCCTGCCCACCGGCTGGCTCAAATGGCCGCTGTGAATGGAGTCCCCTCTCTGGAGATGGAACTGCCAAGGAAGAATGAGATGCAGATGCAGTTGGGCCTGACCTGTGATGTGTGCTTGAACGTGATCCAGGAGATGGACAAATGGCTCATGACCAACAGCACAGAAGCCCTCGTCACCCACGCTCTGGAACGAGTATGTTCCATAATGCCCGAATCTCTGGTCCAGCAGTGCATCACCCTGGTGGAGACCTACAGCCCCAGCTTGGTACAGCTTGTGACCAGGGTCACGCCAGAGAAAGTGTGTGAGACCATCCGGCTGTGTAACAACAGAAGGCAGGCCAGGTCCGTTTCCAGGGCTGAGGCAACCACACCAGCCCTGCTGGTGGATGAAGAAAACCAGGGCAGCTTCTGCCAAGGATGCAAAAGGATACTGGGCGTATCTTCCCAGAATCTGGATCGCAAGAGCACCAAGCGGGACATCCTGAATGCCTTCAAAGGTGGTTGCCGCATCCTGCCGCTGCCCTACGTGCTGCAGTGCAACCGCTTCGTAGCGGAATATGAACCTGTGCTCATAGAGAGCCTCAGGTTTATGATGGACCCCACGGACCTCTGCAAGAAGATGGGGGCCTGCCACAGCCCCAAGGTCCCACTTCTAGGCACGGATCAGTGTGTCATGGGCCCCAGCTTTTGGTGCAAGAGTCCAGAGGCTGCTGAGATGTGCAACGCCGTGGAACACTGCCAGCGTCTTGTGTGGAAAAAGCCAGATTCCGAAGTCAAAGAGCAGCCATGACTGCGGCCACCAGAACCCAAAGCCTGCCAGGGCTGATTCCTCCTGCAGGCTTCTACCTCCCAAGGGGACTCTATGAGGTGGGTGCTACCCCACCCCCATGTCATAGATGAAAAACTGAAGTTCTCGGGAGGGAGTCAGGGGTGAGTGGAGCTGACATTCAAAGCCGTGCTCTCCTGACGCTGGACAGCTTCACCTTTCTGTCTCTGGCCTCATCACTGTCACCCCCGCCATAAAAAGGAAGTCCTTACCCCTGCCCCTGTAAGCCACCCTCTCCTGCCCTGCTGTGGTGCTGATGGCCTGGGGAAACCTGTCAGAGGCTTCCCGTGTGGGTGAACACCCAGCTATAAGCCAAAGCAGTTGTAGAGGGAAGGGTAGAGGGGACTGCCACTAGTCAGGCAAATGGCTTAGCAATAGGTCGGGGTGGGCATTGGGTATTCTCAGGTTGGGATCTCTGCGGCTGGTTCCCAGTGGGGTAGCTGGAACATGAGTGGCATTTTCTAGGGGAGGGGCCTGGCTTATTGGCTACCACCAATGAGAGGTATTTGGACTTCAGAGCACTCCTGTCCGTGTCTTGTCCCACCAACGGGCATCTGTCCTCTCACTTAGACTCCAGTCATCCTGGTGCTAAGTAGTCTGGGGTGTGCTTAAAATTAGGGGAACAAACCCCGTTGGGCGAGCTCCGGGGAAGACTCGAGGGGTATGGAATGGCTGTGCCATGGGCCATAGCAAGAGCTCCACCCTCGTGAGCAGGCCCTTTATCTGCTGAGCCTCAGTTTTTCTATCTGTAGACTAGAAGAATCGTGCCCGCCTCAAGGCGATGTTGAGACAATTCTAGATGTCCTCAAGCTCTTTCCCTTAGAGACCAGCACCCATTGGCCCATCGGGATCAGGAAAGCCTATCTTGGGAATCGATAGGGCCTCTGGGGAATCTGACCAAGCAAGCATTATATAAACCAGAAGCTCTCTCCAAATGATGTTTGCTGTTTTTATTCTAATGAAAGAACGTGGTCCCGGAGGCTCCAAAATCCCCTCCTCACCACCTCCCATGGGTGTTTTTTTTACAGAAGGAAGCTTCCTTTGGGGGCACCGGTCTGTTTCAGGTACCCACTGCCTTCCTCTCCTGTGTGTAGTCTTCAGTACCTCATGAGTCCCTCATTGACAGCCCCTGAGAGTGAGGTCACCAAGGCCTCAAGCCCAGCACCAGACCTGCATGTAGCTGATGCCCAAACATCTGTGATGAGCCCTCGAGTTCCCATGCATGGTCACCACTGCCTGGGTGGGGATGAGACTACCTTGGCCTGGCTGCCCAGTAATGTGGGTAGATTCATTCCTAAGGGCCACACCTGGCTTCTTAGGCAACTGAACTGTGCCACCATCCAGGAACATGGGCATTCCTAGCCAGAATTTCTAGAATCCTGTGTGCTGGCACTGTCGTCTGGATGGACCTGGGTCCCCCTGATCAGCCCTGAGCAAGATAAGGGAGTAGGAGGCAGTGAACAAGCTGCCTACTGGGTGGCCATGCACAGTTGTAGCCTTGTGGATCAAGCAATCCCAAAGCACAGCTTGAGGTTGCCATAGTCACCACTCAATGCTCGTTCATCTCTCCCCAGGAGCCCTGGGCCAGAGCAGAGTGGAGGCCCCTCCTCTGTCCTGGCAGTGATCCCAAGGGACACTTTCTAACAGTTGTATATGACATCTCATGGCTTTCTTGACCTGACATTTCCAGAGAGACATCACCAGTCAGATAGGCCTGGCCTGCCAGAGGCCAGGAGGTGCTAAGTGCCATGTCCTTTCTTTGTCTCTGGGCCCATTTCACTGCCTCCAGAGTTACAGTTGGGGACAGGCAGGATGGGGGTGGGGGCTCTCCTCATCCCTTCCTTTGACTCTCACACAACCTCCAGGCCTGGAGCCAGCTGCTTCCTCAGACCACTGATCAAATATGTCCCCACATACACATGGCCCACAGGAGCCTGTCTTGGAACACGCCTGGCAAGAGCCCCACAGGCCCACTGCCGACTGCGGCTGGCAGGGCACATATTTCCTATGCCCGGTCACAGGGACTCCACCTCATCCACACTCCTGAATCTTTACTCTTCCTGCACCTCATGGTGGAAGACAGAGGGACAAGAGGAGAGAAAGACGAGCCCAACGGGGGTAACAGAAACAGTTTACTCAGACCCACAAATTCACTTAGTGGCTCAGCAGAGGGACAAGGACCAACGGGACAACCTTGCATTCTGCTTGCTTCAGAAGGGACCTCGAGAAGAGCAGCTGTCCTCACCACGCCTAAAAGCGGTACAGATCCTTCCTGTGAGGGTGGGAAGCGGGACATTAAACATGCAGAAACTGGAGTTGGGGACCACAGTGCCCGAATTAAGGTGGAAGCAGAGGCTCTGGGAGGCTGGCCAGGTGCACAGATGTCAGAAACTCCTACCACACAGGCCGTGGGGATCCATCAGATGCCACCATCCAGCATAGATCTAGACAGGTAGGGACTCTGTCAGGGTCCATAGCCTCCAAACTCCTGGCAGGATCAGGGTCTGGCAACTGGTTCATTTGCTAAAAACATTCTTCAAAGTGATAGGTCAGTAACAAATGTGGGCCTGATGGAGATGGGCTCCCCCAGGTCACAACCCAGTCCAAGAGGGATGTCCTTGTGAGAACCCTGAACCCCTGCTGACCCCTCCAATGGAGCTGGAATCTCAGGGCTGCCCCTGTGGGGGCTTCGCATGAGTCCGTGCTGAAGGCTCCACAAGGTGAGTCTAAAATCCCCTGCTGACCTGAGCAAACACACCTCTGGGTTAGGCTGGGCCCCTCCACCAGCTGGCAAGGAAGGGACATCTCAACACCTACATGCGACTGGGAAGCCTTGCTGCTGCCTACGAGGTTTCCGCCAACCTGGGAGGGACCAGACACCCGTGGGATTCTGACCTGGGAGGGTGACTCGCAACTTAAGCTGCTTATTAGGACAGAAGGAACAGTTTCGGAAGACAAGGGAAAGTCACACCACTTCTGAACCAGTTTCTCAGGCTGGCAATCCCTAGGCCACAAGAGAAGAAAGCCCCAAGAAGGGCAGGAAGAGAGAGTGACCATTTTGGTAGGCAGGATTCTTTGGGACTTGGATCCAGTGATAGCATCTCAGGAGGGAAGACACTTAGGACACTGCCCAGGACCACCCAGGCCAGTCCTGCGGGACTCTGGAGACTGTGGTCATTTCACAGTGATCAGGATCAGGGGTTTGGGAAATACAGCAAGAAAACCTGCTGGCTGCCAAGCTGGCTGGATGCAGTGCTGACCTCTGCAGGGATGAAGCAAGCCCAGGGAGGGGCCCGTGCAGCCTGGAATCCAGAAGCCACACCTGAACCTGTACGTCTGGGTTCCCTGGTTGTCTGAGTTGGGCCCACAGGTGGCAGAAGGTTCGTGAAGATCAGATTTCTATTCTGCCCCCACACAGGCAGCACCCACACCAGATTCCCCCAAAGCATCTATAGAGACCTCACAGCCTGGATTCCCTCAAACTCAGGTTACAATACTGTTCTCAGCACATGCCAGCTGAGTGACCCTCCGCAGGTAAATGGAACCAGTCACAGTGACAATATGGTGGGAGAACTTACAGGATCTCTAAGGCAGACAGACTCTCCTGGTGCCCGTGCAGGATGCGACTACGTCCCTTGCCCTGCTGGCTTCTCTTGAGACTCTCCTAGAGAAAGCCATGCCAGCACAGGGCTTCTGTGTGAGCTGTTGTAGGCACCCATGCTGGGGGTTGCATGCCAGCAGAGACAGCCACCCCCGCCACCAGGAGTGGTGCAATCAACACACTGGGAGACTTAAAGCAAGCCACTTGCTCTTTCCTCATGGCCCCTTACTCCCTCAGCACAGAGGACCAGGTACATCCAGGTTCCATATATAGCTCTGAAATCAGGATTAGCATCTAGGAAGGGCCGACAAATGCATGAAGTCAGCAGAGGTCAGAGCACACTTCTGGGGTCAAGGGATTCCCAGGCTGAGGTGAGTGAGTCATAGATAGAGCCCCATAAGCCTTCCTGCCTGGAGACACCCCACTTTTGGGGGCTTACTTCAGGGGGAAGGGAACCAGAGACTCAGAACTAACAGAACGTTCTAAAACCAGGCATCTAGAAACAGCAGACTTGCCACTTTCCAGTCCACCACCTCAGTGTCCAGCCCCAGTCACTCAGCATGGCTGAGGAACACACGAGGGTTCGGGAGGGTGACAAGCCATAAGGCCAGAGCTCTTGGGGAGAGCTAGAAATGTCCCATTTGCTCTGTGACGCCCACCATGCCCTCTTGGGTCACTACCCACAGATCCAAAAGCTCCTATAAAATTTCAGGACTCCAGATCCCTAAACAGCAGAGAGCCACTGCAGTCACGTGGTGGCGGAGAGAGGATGAAGTTCACACCTCTAACCCATTCTGTGCCCAGAGACATGGCTTGACAGCTTGAAGCTGGCCATGGTAGGGGACTGTGTTGACACAGGACAAAACTACACACTGGGCAGGGGGAGTCTTACTCTTTCAGCCCTCTGGCCTTCATACACTCAGAAGACCCTACCTGTCCCAAGGGCCTGAGACATGAGAAGTCACAGAAGTCACCACACCCTGAAGGAACTACAGGATGATGCCCAGGCTCCCTGAGTGTTGTCCCAAGTCAGGTTCTGGGTGAGGGTGAGGGCTGGGCCATCCAAACAAAATAGCCCAGGCCAGCATCTTAGGTTGAAGGAAGTAGCCCAATACTCAGCCTTCCACCAGTATGTGTGTGGGCGGGGGGCGGGGGGGAGGGGGTTAGGAGGTGGGGCTTTCTACGCCCTTGAGAAGACTGGCTCTATCCCACAGGCTATACTGGACCAGCAGCCCTTGTCAAAGCACAGAGATGGGAGCGATGGGGCCTCGGGGTGGGGAGGTGGAGGGGCACATGACCGTGACAAAGAAGGTCGCTGCTCACTCAAGCCTGTCACACAAGCCTGTTAACATGCACAGTAGATGAGCCACATACAAAGAAACAATGCCAGCGACGACATTTGGAAAAGAAAATGACATTAAAATAATGTCAAAATAATAGGAAAATTTTAAGCATTGTATGTAAATTTCAGGAGACGGCGAGAAACTCAGTAGAGAGCAAACAAGAGGGGTGACAGGATCTCAGGGGAGAGATGCTTCAGGCAGAGTCTGCAGCAGCTCTGGGGGGCTGGGGGGACGACAGTCTCCTGGAAGCTGCCTTGTCAAGGTTAGAGGGCTTGGAACAGAGCTGAGCTAGAGCACAGATGGGCATGGAGGGGCAAGGGAGGTGGGGAAATAGAGTAAGAGAGGACCTGGCTTTGGATGACTAGCCGGGGGCAGGAGGTCGAGGGTCCCGGGGGTATGTCCAAGGGTTGGGGGGGTATGTCCAAGGGCCACATGGACCTTTGTCAGAGGTCATTTTCAAGCTGGGCAGGATGAAGGGCTCGCCTGTTCTTTGGAATTTGGCTTTAAGGGCAAGATAGGAGAACGGGGGCCTTGTTATGGGTAGGGCCGGTGTCCAGGTGGGAGTTGCTGGGACCAGACAGGAAGGTTCAAGCTGAGGAACAGAGAGCCACAGGCATGGGCTGATAA